TTGCGCAACCTTGAAAAAAGGTCCACCTCGTGAGAGAGTGAAGTGACATATACAACATATACATATACATATAATACGGGTACAGATCCATTAAATAACCACAATGAGAGCAAGTATATACTATATACGCACAGTGGACACGGATGCTTCCTAGTTTGGTAGCACTGACCATGCAGGACCTGCTCGCTGGTGGCCTTTTTTCGCTTGCAGCCCTTGAGGACACGTCTCCATGCGACACCAGTCCGATGCTATCATGGGTCATGAGAGCAAGCATTGGCTGAAGGATGCAGCGCCAGTGGCATTGCAAATGCCAGCCACCTCCAGTGGATGGAAAGCGTTTGGCCCTTGAACAAGCCGCCCAAAAGGAACAATTTTCTGATGTTGGCATCTCGCAGCAGCATATTGCAGTATTTCAGAGTTCTGTGTGTTTGGGGTCAGGTGGAATCGCTTTCGGACCCTATGTGATCACCATGTGCGGTTTTGAGCTTAGAGTCCTTTAAACAAAGAAGAGCATGGAACATTAGCAGGCCGTAGAGTGCGAATTTTGCATGCAACCTTTCCACCGAGACAGGCTGTGTTGTGCCCTGGAACTCACGGTGGACAAGACCAGCGAAAAGGCCCCTTCATCCATCAGGTGATGCCTTATCCAGATCCAATGAATGGCACAGGAGCTTGAAAGATGGACCCGCACTTGGAGGTTTTTATTCTTTTGCTAGCTAGACATTATATAGTCGTTTGAACACATTCGAGCCAGTTGCTTTTAGCAGCAGCAGCAGAGTTCTTCAAATTCCGTGCTTAAGGCTAGCCGAGCCTGTTCGCTGTGTAATACTGTCTCCATCCACATTCCTCCTGAACCGGCGCTGCTGACTTGATTTTGTACATAAACATAAAGTAGGTAGGGTGAACAATGTCGCTCATTCAAAAACAAAAAGATGGTGCCTTGAAATCTTGCCAGGTAATGGCTGGAATGATATCACACCTGAATGTGCATGCCTATGTGTGTAACACCCGTAAATCTGCTGTGCTGGTTGAAGCATGAATGTATACACACAATGGAAGGAGTAATTAACAAATGCTGCTTGTGAGACTCAACACCACACCACCTTGGCCGGAATCTTGCCAGGTCTGGATATCCTGTGCTGCCAAAGAAAGCAAAAGCATACCTCCCAGTTGTCTAAATCAGAAACTTTGTATGGTCAACACATTCATCAGATCTCATTAGACCCCATCAGATAGGATCAGATCAGAGCCATTTTCGTGCGAGACTTCAGCAATCGGGGCTTAGGCTTTGCTGGAGCAGCTCTTCCGGCGCCAGGCTTTGATAGAAAAGCAAAGTTGCATGAAACACGAGACAATGCGAACCAAACAAACACAGCGCTTGAACACAAAAGCTATAAAGAAACGCAGAAAGAGAGAACACAAAAAACAAGCGAAGTCAATTCAGCCAAGGGATACAGGGAAGAAGCGCTCCTCTTCTCCAGCGCCCAAAACCGTGCCCCTCAAGCAGCAGAGCCTGACAGGTTCAGGTGATCATTGCGGAGCCGCAGTCAGTGGAGCAAAATGAGGCTCGTTGTGTTTTCCCAGAGAAGGTTTGGATTTTTGTCGCCAATGCCAATGCGGTACTTGCAATGCCTTTTGCAGGGATTGCTGCCTCGCCTGTCTTACATTGCGCGGCTCTTTCAGGACAATCACCCTGAGTCAATCACAACTGCAGTCTTGCACCACCTGGACAAAATCAAAGCATGCCGTTTGAAATTTGTGGCAACGGACATGGAAATAATCAAAGCCTCTCGCGGCAAGGCTCTTCCGCCTCTCTCACAGGCAGAGCGCTTTGCCTATTCGCACATGGACACTTTGCAGGTGCCAACATGCGCCAGGTTTGAACGTCAAAACAAAGAAGGTGAAGGGTTCCTAGACTCTTGGGGAAACTTAACGACGCTGGCTCCCAATGTGTTGCAGTTTGGACAGAGAGATCACCTCGGTGATCTCGGTGTTCCATTTCCAGTCTGTGAATTGATTTAGCTGAAAAAGTTCTCTCTGTGTGTGCGCCTGAAAGCCTTGAGCCTTTTGTTACTTTTGTTACTTTCCATTGGTTGTCATTTGAGTCAACTGTTTGAAGGGTTCACTCTTGCACTCTTGCTCTCTTGCCATCTTTCAATGTCGGTCCTGTGCGCAAGGCTCCACTTCAACCATTGGCTGACAACTTGGAGGTCTTTCAACTTTTGCATGCTTTTGTGATCAGCGCGAAACGAAGACCCCCAATGTGCCTGCAACAAAAGACCTGGGCTCAAAGATGTTCAAACAATCTTAAAGACCACCGATTAGTGACAAAAGCTTCTTGGCCTTGGGTCACGCTGCACCTTTCATGTTCAACTTGCTGAACCTCGCAGTCCGAAACCTACGAGCTCTTTGAGACCGACCCAGTTAAGTATGCTAGGCCCACAGACCAAGTTGCTCGAGGGAGAGTGTATTCATGTGTGGCATTTTGTCAAGAGCTATTCCAAGGCAAAGTATCAAGAGGCTCATCAACTGTGGGCACTTTCGTGCTGAAAGCTTTTGGGATTGGAAGATCTCCAGTAGTGTCGATTCGATCTAGTGTGCGGTTCTGGCTGCCACTAGGCAAGCCCAAGAGGTTGGCTGGTTCGCCAAGCTCAGGCAAAACCTAGCCCGACATTCAGAAAGGAGCACTAGGCCACGCATCACATCCCCTTGGACCACCGAAATACACCTCTTAAAGGCACTTTATGTTTTATGTGTTATATTGTGATATCATTTATCCATTTTGAGTGCCAGGTTACTTCCCGTGCCAGAGTGTATACAAATATGTAGCACCCTCACAGCGAAACATGGAATCACAGGAATCATGAAACTTGGTCATGGATGTCCAAGCAGCCACGAAATGCCTCCTGTGCTAAGAAACTGTGGAGCTGGGCGATCACATCTTTTTGCGTGGCTTCAACTTCTTCAACCCACTTTGATTTCATGAGTCAAACACGATTTCATTGCAAAAGTTGTACCAGGCTGTCTTCATTTTCTTGACGGAACGCAAACAAGAAGGACGCCCCATGCCATTTTGCGTGTTTCTGGCGATGTTTTCTGCAGTGTTCAATTTTGGCCAAGCATGGTCTACCAGACTGCTGTTACACAGCTATGAAGAATGTCAGGTCATGGTTCTTGGAGCTGGACGAGGTCCTTTGGTCGAAGCAGCTTTAAAAGCAGCTGAAAGGGCTGAGGCCAGCCAGACAGACGGCCAGGATAAGCTTGGTATAAAGCTTTGATAATTAACATGTTCAACATTGCGCTCTGAATGTATGATAGCTGATAGCCTATGTTTGCGACTGGCAGTAAGAAACTAGAGACATTGGAAAGACCTACAATTCGCCTGAGTTTCCTGAGGTGGAGGTGGATCTCTATGCTGTGGAGAAGAACCCAAATGCTGCCTTGTACTCAAAAGAACTTGCCACACTTGCAATGTGTTGTTTTAGTGTCCAAGACGCCTTTTGAGAATGCACAAGCTCCATGCGAGACTTCTGCAGTTTGCAGCAAGGACAGCGTCTACATTTAAATGCATTCAACGATTGCATGGGAGGGGTCACCTGGACATTCTTATATAATTTGAGATGCACCTGATCTGGACTCGTTGAGTGCCTGGTGGTTTAAGTTTATGCTGCAGCCAAGCTTTGCGTGCAAATTGTGATGAAACAAGACTTTGACCTTTGAGTAACATAGATGAGATGTCCATCCAAGTAAATCGTGCAAACACAGCTGCAAGTACACCCCTTGCCTTATTTTGAGAGCAGCTAGGTGCAGGCACTCCGCCATCGAAAGAGGCGTGACGGTTGGTCCAGCGTGCAGGCGGACAATCGTCTTGTGTCTGGAGCTGTTCGAATTATTCTCTTGGCGAGTACTGGTAAGAGCAATGAGGTACTGAATTCCACTGCATCTTTCAACAATGGTTATTTGTTGCATCAGATGATGTTGCTCTAGCATTTGACTGCAATGCACACTCGGGAAACAGTGATGCAAATTTGCACCACGTTCAGGCTCAAGCCGGAACTTTTCACTAGATACAGCTCGTTATATAGCTGCTGATTTCCCTGGAACATACAAGATCAGGCTCCATAAGTTGCCATAGACAATCTAAAGGGTGCAAGTGAGGCTTTGAGAAGCGCATGACCATGGACATTGAGAAATATGAACTGAAACATTGGAAGCGCAACATCATGTGGCCATTTATCTATCAACGTCTTTTATGGCCAATCAATCTATGATGTTTGCATCAACCAGACCTTCGTGATGGCCAAAGTTTCTTGTGCTCTTTCGGCGTTTGAGGTGCTCTTCTCTACTTTGCAGATCAAGAGACAGGAAACTTCGGAAACCACTAAGCCAAAGTATCAGAAGGATTCCGCAATGACGCTTGCTTTTTGAGGGCACCCGCCCAGTGCCGCCGCCGCAATGAGCTTCTTGGTGAAATCACACACACACACCCATCAGAAGTACGTCGGTTGTTGCCGATAAAGAACATGGGTTTGCAAAAGGCAAGTGAGATGCACTCTCAGTGGAAACCGCCAGTGCTTCGCTTGACCTACAACAGCGACAGCTTAGAGCGTGAGTAGCTCCGGGCGAAGCAGAGTTGACAGGGGTGGACTTGCAAAAGCCGATGAACCTATCCTAGTTTTTGATGCCAGGTTGATGCTGGCACATTGAAGTCATACAGGACCTCTGCTGAATGTTGTTGAGATGTGTTGCTTCGGAAGCAAAGTCAATCTTTCTTCTGATGTTTCTCAATGCCTTGCAGGCCCCACAATATAGCCTTGGAGTTTCTGTCGAGGCCAACTTGTTTTTGTAAAACGACTTATTGATTAAACGTGCACATCGCCGCAATGTGCGACCGTGCAACAATTGCCTTGTGATCTGCATTTCTGTAGTTTAAGCGTATGAAGCTGACAGGCTGGACCCCGCCTTGGCTGATGTAGGCTGCAAAGTTGAGGCGTGATCAAGAGCTCCAGCCACAGCATGATACAACAAAGTCAACACACTAAAGTAGTCTGTAGATGTCAGTAGTCGGTAGAGTCCAAAAAGCGGTGGATATATAGTTCAGAATAGTTCAAAATTAGTGCAGGAGATAGCTTGCTTGCGCCAGAAGTCACAAGTCGATATTCAGTCAGTGGCATTATCATTATTTTTTTTTGCTCCCGTGCTAGTGCTTTCTCTCTCTATCTCTCTTTGCAAAGTCCCTTTGTCCTGATTCTTTGCTTGTGTAGCTTGTCGAGGTCTACCGTCTGCACAAGCTTGAGGAAGAAGACCCGTTGTATGAGGGTGACCAGCTGCTATGTAGTAGCTCAGCTTTTTGGCTAAGGGGCATCTAAAGGCTGATTCCCAGATGAAATATGCTTCTCAGCGCTCTCCTTCAAGTTTCGTACGCTATCTCTCAGCCTCCCAAGTTGGAGAAGTTGGAGCCTTGCAATCAGCTCATGTGGCCTGAGGAAGCGGAGAAAATCCAAGTCCTTTCTTTTCAGGTTGTGGGGTTTTGGACGAGGTTGGCAGTCATTAAACTATCTTTAAAAGGCAACTTTGTGCCTTGGGTTTAGGTGAATATGATTTTATTGTGTCCAATTTCCATCTGTTCTTTTTTTTTCTGGATTAAGAATGGCTTTGCCAGAACCAAGGCATTCCATCGTGGAACTTTGATTTGAACCTGCTGGAGGATATGTTTGAAGAAGTGGAGGACCCGCGTCTTCGTTTTTAGTTCTCTTCCGGTGTTGTTGCCAAACCCCTACTTAGTTCATGACCCGGCAGGAGTTAAAGTCAAAGCAAGAGGAGCTTCTCTCGAACATAGACCGTGCAGTGTCCTCTCTCATGACGTGCGGAGAGCTCATAGGCGAACGGTGGAAGTTGGGTGACGCAGAAACAACAGTGAAACAAACTAAGCAATCTTTAGGCCCTGTACTTTAATATGGTCTTGACTGTTGAACACATGTGAGCTTGTCTCAGCCTCTAGGTTCTGATGCGCATACAGACAGTTATGCACAGCCCTCAGATGAATCACAAGAGATCTATACTCAAAAGTATATATATATATACATATATATATATATCCCATTATAAAAATGTTACACGAAGATGATGTGTGCAGTGTACATATTATAGCTCTGCCTGTCAACACCCCACTCCATTTTTTGATTGTTCGATCAATTCTTCAGTTCTGTGTTTGACGATAGTTCAATCCAACTGTTCACCGACTGCCATCGACTTTTTTGCTTGTACATTTGGGTTCCAGGTGCAAGGGCTCAAACGCCTAGTTTCTGTGCGAGATGCGCAAATAGCTGAGTTCTGGCCCAAGACTATGAGACTAAGACACCAGCCATGAAGAGCTTATTACGCAAGACAGTCCAATTAAATCAAGCTGCAAGTTACAGTGCAGCATGATGCCTTGCTGCTTTGCCTGATATTTCAAGGCAGAAGCGGAAAGAAAGCAAACTGCGTGCAGACCTTCTTTGGATGCGAGGGCAGCCTCCCAGCCATGGATTCCTTCATTTTGTTTTCTGACAAGCTGTTCATGGATTCCTGTACCACGCCACTGTTTTGTATACTGGATAGTTTGTGACTGTGGGAGTGACAGGACTGAACATTTGGTGCAGCTGGTGTTGGACGAATCTGCAATTGTTTCAGCTTCAGCAGACTCAAACTTCACCATTCAGTTGATATGGTTGTGCTGCAGCGCTTGGCGATGCATGGCCTGAAACTGCTAAACTGAATGTCCGCTTCAGACCTGAGCACTCAGGTTAGAAGTAGCAAGGAACAGAGTGCTCGACCCAGTTTGGTAGCAGGTCCCAATTGCTACTCTGACATTTTCCCAATGGTAGCTTTTCTTTGGAACTACCAGCAAATATGCAGTGTTTTGGCTGGAGATGTCTTTGCACCTTTCGGCAAGTTCATTTTTGCTGTCCAGTTCGAAAGTTTTTGTCAGGTTATGTTTGACTGACAAAACATAACAGCATCTTTTTCATTTTGCGAGACGTTCACATAATCATTTGCTAAGTAGGTACTTTTGTGAACATGGCTTTGGCTTGGTAGAGTTGAACTGGGCAGAACATAGAAGAGTCAGTACTTTTGGTTGAACGTGGAAAGGCCCGACCAGAAACCCTTGGCCCAGAAACCAAGACGTGCGAGGACCCTGAGCCCCTTTCGTTTTGTTATCGTCAACATGAACCGCGCCTAATCGAATCACTTCCACAGGATTGGTGGAAGATGTTAGAGAGGTAGAGCGGTAGGGTTGTTTGTGTTTTGGAATCTTCTCACTGGGTTGGAGAGCACCTGCTTATCATGGTCTCAAAAGCAAACATGATGTGCGATATGCATAGAAATCTTCAACCAGATCTTTTTGCCAACTTAGGTTCGAGCACTATCCAGCCAGCTGCCAGCTTGGGATTTGCTTACAACAGAGATTCACATGACATCATGCATCGAATGAAGACTGCTTCAGAAAGCCATTTGCAAAAGTTCTAAGTTCAAGCATGCACTTTGTGATATTGCATGCAGCAGCGGTCAGGCTTGATATGGACAGGATCCCACATGGATTCGGTCCTATTCACGAAAGGTAGCCTGGGGCTCCCCAAGCTTTAGCTTTCAACATGATTCAACATACATCAAACTTCCACCCTGTCAAGACTTTCGAGGATTGGATACATGTCAAAAGAGCGCCCGTATATTCGACAATTGCAGTCCATTTCGCGAGCAGTCTTATGGTGACTACCATTTAAAACAAGACAAGAACAAGAAAAGCTACGTTATACCGAAAACAAGTGGAGTTGATCTTCCCTATCAATCATTGATTAAAACAGCTGATGGAGCCGATCAAACCAACGGGGCTGAGGAAGTGGATGACGGACCCAGCTTCATGCAGGGCGCGCTTGCAAAATCCACATGAATTGGACACTTTGTCCATCCACGACCTCCTTTTTCCATGCAAGGGAAAGGAACCAGTAACCAGAACAAACCAGCAGATGACAGGAACACTTGGTTTAGCGGGGGTGGCATGCATCATAAGATGGGAGAGGAATCCTCTGTGAGCTTGTCAAGCCGTTGTCCATAAAGCCGACTTGACAGTCTACGACAAATTTGGGATTTGGTTATTGTTTCAGAAACACAGACGTGCTGAAATATAACAAAAAGGAACGCGAGCAGGAAAGACAAGGCTAAAAAAAGGAACTGACAAGGAACACTTAACGGAAAGTCAAGAAAAGAACCAAAGAGCAGCATTCGCCTCCAACCCTTGGGGAAAACGGCGGAGTTTAATCAAGGGGCTTCATTAACCCTGATCCAACAGTGCAAATGAGACAGGGATTGACAGTAGCTGGAGGCTGACCGCAGGCAACACACGCACTTATAGAAATGCGTACTGATGTGAATGCGGTGCCACACGCCAGCCTAAGAAACCAAATCCCGAAAAGCCAGGTGAGGGGGACTGCGCGCCTTTACTTAAAGGCCAGAAGTCAAACTCCACGATGCGACGAGCCGACAGGATGACGGCGTACCGTGCATGACTGCAGATGCACTAGCACTTTACCAAAAGATTAAAATTGAAGCAGGTACACAAGAAGGCGTCCCTTCTCGCTTCACCAGTTGTGAGCCCGTCTTCGTTGGTCCAGGGCCAACGCACAACTGCCTGGACCCCGTGCTGAAAAACGAAAAGAACCACCACAATCCAACAGGATCCCTGTGATTTCAAGGGGCGCACACACACGCCCCCCCGAGGGGTGGCCGAAAATGCTAAGGTCAGGACGCATGTGCATGTGTGCGCGCGCGCGAAAGACAAAAGAATGAAGACATGACAAGAGGACGGGACGGGACAAAGGTGTATGTGGTTGTGATGAAAGGGGAACCAAGCGCACAGGGACAAACAATGAACCCCACCTCATTATAAACACCTGGGCCACCTAAAACCTGGGCTAAAAGTACGTGCAGTTGTGCACGTACACGCTAAGGCCGGGACCGATGTGCGCGCAAACGAAAGGAAGGATGAGATGAAAGACATGAAGACAGGAGGACATGAAAGAAAAGAGGAGAAAAGATGTGTGTGAAGGGGAAAAGGATGAAAGGGGAAACCAGATGAAGGGGACAGAAACAAACGAAACCAAACCTCATTAAAAATCACCTAGGTAGACCTTGCCTCGTTAAAGTGTGTACGCTGTGTTTGCGCCCAAGCATCCGACAGGTTCCAACGAACCTCAAAAAAGCTTTGGTCGCTCTGACCACGTTGAGGCGTTAAGCCAGCTTGGACCGCTGCGGTCACGTAAAGGCATGAGCCAGCTTGGAATTCAATAGTTCAGCAAATCTTGGCAAATAACTTTGGCATAAGCCTCCTTTTGTCCGCTTCGGACACCGACTTTCTCGAGCAAGGGGAACAACGACTAACACCCGTTCAACGGGTCCACAGGGGCCACTCTGCGGGGTCACCCTGGGCTGGCATGAAGCCAGACACACTTATAGAAATGCGTACTGATGTGAATGCGGTGCCACACGCCAGCCTAAGAAACCAAATCCCGAAAAGCCAGGTGAGGGGGACTGCGCGCCTTTACTTAAAGGCCAGAAGTCAAACTCCACGATGCGACGAGCCGACAGGATGACGGCGTACCGTGCATGACTGCAGATGCACTAGCACTTTACCAAAAGATTAAAATTGAAGCAGGTACACAAGAAGGCGTCCCTTCTCGCTTCACCAGTTGTGAGCCCGTCTTCGTTGGTCCAGGGCCAACGCACAACTGCCTGGACCCCCTGCTGAAAAACTAACGGAATCATCACAATCCGACACGATCCCTGTGATTTTAAGGGGCGCACACACACATTGGACCCTCGCTTTTGGCAAAATGACTTTTTGGTTTTAATGATATGTTTGGCAGTCCATCGACCAACTGTGAGAACGTCCAAATTCTACCGGAGCTTCGTCTTGGTGAGTTCTTGGTTTGCTTTTAGAAGATGCATGATATCGTCTTGCTCAACGATTGTTTTGGCAGAAGTGCAAGAGGGCAAAATTGATACTACAACCACCCCCCACGCCCACGGCAAGATCCTTAGTTGATCGAGCTACTCTCTCAAGAGGTGTTGCCCAGCCTTGGTTACAACCTAAAGCCGCATGGGGTGCTGGGATGAACTGCTAAACTGCAGCGAAAAAACACAGTTCTAGGCAACACTGCTCACCTAAATTGTTCATGCCTGAAAATAACATGCCCAAGAATGCCCAAAGGATCTTTCAGGGTGCCGATTTCTTTTGAACTATTTTCCAACAACCAATCCCTGCATGTTTGTTGTCCATTTGTCCACCAACCATCCCGATCCATTCATTTAAACTTAAACAAAGCAGGAATTGTAAATACTCACTTATATATTGCATCACCCGGGGAAGTCTGTTCAAAGACCTTAAACACAGGATCCGAACCTATGCCTTTGGTGTGTGAGTGTTTTCTTTTGAGAACCAGACAACGTAGAGTCGAGACTGTTTGCTTGATCCTTCTTCGCTTCTTGCTCTTGCCCTTGTGATTCTGATTGTAATATAGTTGTCAAATCAGGGTCCGTGATAAGTTATATGAAGTGTGTGAAGCACGAGACAGACAACGCCCATTTTGCACGCTATCCCCCTAGGTGGGAGCAGCAGGGCAGAACCAGGAAAGACAACATAAGATGGAAAAAGGTCACGGCGCTGCACTAGCGAAGCGGGCCAGGTTCCGTTCAGCTGCTGTGTGTTCTTGTGCGACATGGTCACATGTTAGGTAGTAGTCGGATCGACGGCACTGCAATTAGGAGAACTTGCATAGTGGTGAGTGGACTACTTGATATATATAGATATACTATATTTATTTCTGTAGGAGTACAGTTTGTGGGTGAAAGCTGTTTGTGCGTTTCAGGTGGTGCCTGGAGACATGAGGTCGTGGGATGCGCCGAAGAAAGCTGATGCTGGGTCCTTACGTTTTGTATTGGTCTATGGATTCTATCGTAATTGTCCTGCATTGTGCAGATCTTTAGGTGGTTCTCTTCATTTAACATTTCAGGCACTTAGCTTTAGGTTACGTACTCGGATGATCATTTTCTTGAGGTCATCATCAGCGAGCTTTTGGGCTCCTTCGGGGACAATGAGTTGAGTCTGGGCAGAACAGACTGGAATCTTTTTGCATAAAACAATTTTGAAGTCGTCATACTCCGAGGTCCGGAATGCCTTGATGGTGCGTGCTGAGCTTGGACTGTGCTTTTCTGTGGGTCGACTTTATGTTGTTTTTCTCCAAACAGTTTAGTCGAAACTGTTCTATCTTACGAACAAATGGCTGCCACGCTAGCCGTGGCCGTGCTGTCTGCCCTTGTCCGGTTGTCGGCCCTTTTCCCTGTCTGCGTCTTGTACCCTGCTTGACCCCCCCGTTTTCCCTTTATCCACTGCCTTGTATCGCCTTGTCCGGGGGTTTGTTTTCTTGTGGCTATGAATGCAACAGTGAAGCAGCGTTTCAGTTTTTTTGAGAATCCTGTTCTTAAAAAACACGTTTACATTTGACATCCTTTCCCAAACAACTAGAGGCTACATAATTACAGACGGTTCCACCAACATTGGAATTGAAGGAACTGACGCAAACAACTCTTGCTGAAACTGTGTGGGGTCTATGTTGGTATAGTTACAGTATAGTTTGCAGTGGCGAGCTCGGTTCAACCACGATTTGGGCTGGATTACTCATAATATAAACATTTGTGGATCATTGTGGATCCATTTGCTTTGGTTTGGCAGTGCAGGCAGCGCTTCTTGGCTTCAGATGGTGTTTGCATACCAATCAGCAACTCGACTCGACCGCTCATCAAACTTTGACATCAGTCAGGCCATTTGTTCTTTTTTGGTGGCTTCACGAGGCTACACAGCTGCATTGACGCCGGTAACAGCACCAGGGTTGTGGGCAAATGCGAGACAGGGAGCAGCAGGTGGAGGCGTAGCTGATTTGGAGGTGGGGGATGCGAGTCCAAGTAGTGAAACATACTCCAGACTCCATCTGACGAGTTCGGCCAGACTGCTTACGTGGTGCACATGCAGCATGCATTCTACCCATGCAGTGCTGTCAAGGACTACCAAAACGACTACCAATGCAGGGCTGGGAGTTGTTTGTCTCACATCTAACTGGCAAGGCAAACTGTGCTTGAAGAGGTCTTTGCAGACCTGTAAAATAGAAGCCAGACGCTGCTTTGCTGAACAACTTGGAAATCCCTAATTTTGGGTGCGCATGGGTGCATGGACCTGACGTTTGCTCATTCAAAGAAGCCAAGATGCTGCAGGGGCTTCAGTCATAGATTTTAACACTCTCATTTGTGCGGCTGAAATGCAGGACTGCTTCGAGTTCCACCATCCAAACTGGACCATGGAGAGCAACGACAGATGCGTGGATTTGGACTTTGAGATTGAGGCAGCTCACTGTGACCCAGGATTGATATGCTTGATGGCCTCAGGGGCACTTATCAAAGGGGTCCTTACCTATCCTTACCTATCCTATATTCTTCTCTTCTCTTTTCCTTTCTCTGCTTTATATATACACAAATACATTTTCTTATATAATGTATTCTTCTATATTTTCAGTCCAGTTACATATATATATATACATATATATATATACACATTTTTTTTCAATTCGTTTTTTCCTTATTTGTTAGTACTCTCATTTTCTCTGTTCGTTTCCCAAATCCGTTTCGATGCGTCAAGGAAGCTTCTCCGCGGTGGGAGAAGCTTCCTTGATGAACCTGAGCTGCTTTGTGTTATGAAGCTGAGAGTATCCGCCGACCCCCAAACAGGATCATGTGGATTTTGAAGCATATCTTTAAACCAATTAAACTATATACTATATTAAACTTCCTAGCAGGAAGAGTCACATAAGATATATTCTCTTTGATTCACACAAGAAATCTTCACTCCTCTGCATTGATGCCTTGAGGTGGATTCACTTGTGCATGGCTTTGCTGGATACTTTGATTGCGTCAGCCACCTAGCGCAAACTGATTTGTCCAAATAGATATAGCAGAATTCCTGCATTCCTTTTAGTGGTCATTGAGGTCCTGTATGGCCCGGAGCACATATCTATCCACCCAAAGAACTTCTCGGCAACGATCTTGGAAGTTTTGGGATGTTTTGGGAAGTTGAGAAGCCCTTTCTGTACTTTGGGTTCATAAGGCCTTCATTTGGGCCTCTTCGAGCCAGGTATGACTGGTGTATTGTCTAAGGTGGGCATGTTCAGCTGGTTTCCCATGTTCTTCCCCTTGCGACATCCGCAGTATGTGCCGAGAGGAAGCATCATCAGGACGCAATCACAGTTTCGTGGACTCCATCTTACGGAGTTGCAAGACGCTACTAGTAACAAGGACGCTACTAGTAACAAGTGCCTTACTAGTAGTAACAAGGACGCTATCTGTTATGGACATATAGCTTTTGCACCAGGAGTCATTGGTGGCGCCGGCACGATGCGCACAAGGTGCCCAGTACAAATACACACCATCCAAGAGTGAACTGACAAGCAGCATACTGAAAGAACACTATGGAAAGAGCTTTTTGGCTTTTTGATCAAAGTAGAGGCAGTGATGATGCACCTGCAACACTTTGTGTTGTGAAGGTTTGGTATGAGTGGGCACTAACAGAGCCTGCTCCCACCGAAGTTCAGACACTCGTCATTCGAAGGGCAGTGACGCAATTGTATGCAATTGTATTATTGGACGTGTTCCTCTGATTTTGACTCCCAGAGAAAGCTGGAAGCAATGTATAGAGGTTCTTATATACTTCCTTAAAAACCAGAAGTTTGCAGCCGAAAGCGAGCGCCTGTTTCAAACTTGAGCTTGTGTCCCCCCAGTGTGTTTGGTGGCCACGGTCTGGCTGTCTTGAAGCTTGTCTCCAGCGTTGGAGCGGTGTCATGACTTGTGTTGCCATTGGCACGTCGGCGTGCCAGTCCAGAATGGCTGTATAATAACATGTTGCCCTGCCGCCATGGATGGAGTCAAGTCGCTTATATATGTTAATCTTCTTCTGCGGCACAGTCTTTTTCTATAACTCGTAGAAGAAAGGTGCGCAGTGTGCACCATCGCTGGGGAAAACAGAGGGGAGAGGGAGGGAGGGCGTGCAGAGTGGACTTTCAACAACCTCTTTTGAAGGATCTATTTGTTTTTGTCTTCAAGTTTTAAAGGTTTTGGGGGTGGGGTAGGCCGGAAGAGGAGGAACTAGATAGGTAAGCGACTAAGCAAACAAGAGACTTCTTATGCTTGGACGCAGGCTGGGGCTCAGGCTTCTTCAAGGAAGCTCCCCCCGGCTGAGAGCAGGGGGAGCTTCCTTGAAGAAGGTCATTAGCCGATTCAGAAACCAACCGATCAGGCAACTACGATTCAGAAACCAAAACAGCCGATTCAGAAACCAAATGGTCCGATTCAGGAACCAAATGAGCCGATTCAGAAACCAAACGGGCCGATTCAGAAACCAAGCGAGTCCCGATTCAGAAGCCGAAGCAGCCGATTCAGAAACCAAAACAGCCGATTCAGAAACCAAACCAGGCGATTCAGCAACTACGATTCAGAAACCAAAAGAGCCGATTCAGCAACCAAAAGAGCCGATTCAGAAACCAAAACAGCCGATTCAGAAACCAAAACGGCCGATTCAGAAACCAAAACAGTCGATTCAGAAACCGAGTTAGACTGTTCAGAAACTAAGCCAAGATAATAATAGCGTTCCATGTCGATGCAAAGGGCTTTTACATTCAGTCAAGTAAGAAGTAGTGGTGGACGGCAGGAGGAGTGTGGGGTGGGGGGGGTGGGGGGG